ACGGGATCACAAATAGGGTAAGGCTGTATGAAATTCATTCACACCGTTTGGTCTTCTCCTCTCAAAGTGGGAGAAAGGCAACTATCAGTTCCTAAATCACCTCAAACAATGTAGATTATGGACATAGTCTCCTTTCGTTGTATAGAAGTTGTTTGATCTTGATTTCGCAACTTGGGCATGTTGGGAATGTACCAAGTCGATAGTATGGACTCCGGACCAGTGGCGTTCTTCAAGGTCTTCCAGACAAGATGATCAAACAATTTTAATATAGATTGTATACCAAGTAATTATCCAGCTTTGGAACGTACCAAACTGGAATTTGAATAAGGTCAATCGTGCTGGAAATTATATTTTCATGCGGTTCTATGACCAAACGGTTTCCGTGTCTGTCAACATGAGTGGCAACATTTTTCCGTGAAAAGTAGGTTTTACAACCTACCAGTAGAACAAATACAGTAGATGTATTCGTCCTGATTCGTTGCATTTTCCCACAGTCACATGACTGGGTCTCATGTTTTTATTCAATTTCACACTTGGTCCCACCTCCAAAAAAGGAAGTCTCATCTCCGCTGAAGTCGATTGCAGTTCCGACCTCGCCTCAACTCGTCTCATCAGCACCCCCAGCCGGACTCGAACGATGAGATTGCATTATGCAGTCTCGACATGTCAACTGTGTTCTTGAGTAACCGGGCAGATGTGAATTGCAATGTAGTTGGACATGTATCCAGATCATGATCTACGCTGGAAGTGTCGATGAAGCAAATTTGTGTTTGTTATAGCAGTCGACTGCATTACATATTTTCTGTATATAATTGGGCTTTAAAGAAATTATCCTTCAACAAAATGGGCAGGAGCTAATCAAATCACTCTGTACCTCATCTGAGAGGCCAAATATGAAGTATATATATACAGCTTTTTAGGAATAAGCCGGTGTGTTTTCTAACATCAGCACCTTTTCGCCGGAATCGAAGCAGATTGCCTCGGAAACATCCTCACCGTGGATTTTGTAGTCAAGTTAATCGACAGGTGGTCAAGAGGAATGCGCCGTCGTCTGCTGGCGGACTCGAGCTTAGAATCTGTTCACCAAGAACAGTTCCATCAAAATGGACGTTGGCTCAACAAAAAATTGGTCATACCATTTTAAGCGACCTTTCAAGAGTTGATGATAGATTCTGAGAATAATCACCGGTTCAAGCTCACTTCTGCTCACAACTTTCTGAGCATGTTTACGCTTCTTTGGTACCTCGGCTCTCGCCTCGGTCGTGTTGCACTTGGTTTTGATGAACTGATTTTTCCTTTTTTTTTTCTTTTTTTTCTGGAAGATATGCGCGACTACACCTTCCAGGCGCATTTCTGCGAACGGATCTATCAGACGCACCATCGATTCTGTCGACCCGACTCCGACGAGTTGGCATTCACCCTGCGCCAGGTCGGCTACTATCTGGGCCTCAGTCGCATCTTCTGTAGATGTGAAGGTGTTGCCGAGGTGCACTCATACAGCTACAGTCGACCCGTGAATGCAGACGACCGCCTCTTCCGTCCGCGCTTCATTCAGATGACCTGCAAAAGACCGGTCAGTTGACAGAGCACATTCACGAATCGCTTCTTTCGCAATTCGTCGAGTAGATTTGACCAAATTACATGCTTTTTTGATGAGGATCTCGTTATTTGGTTGGCATGGTGACCGAAAAGATGAAGACTACAGCAACGGCAGCTCTTCGTTTCTGGTTGCCGCTTGGTGTCTGATGCTGGAGGAAATGGTTACTTGCAGAAATTGTCTGAGACGATTGTGCTTCTGGAAAATACACAAAATAGAGATCCGGTGGAAGAGGAACGGTTGATTTGCACTTGTTGAGATCACGTCAATTTTGAGTGAATGTTTGCGAGGCTACGATGCAAATTTCGATTGTGGCATTACTTGATGCATCTCTACAGCATGGAAGACAGAAGTCGGTGGCATCGTGTGACACGACTTTCCGATTCGAGGGCAAAGTTGGTTGGGAGAAATTCATGATGGCGTCTCAGTGGAACGGAAGGATTGTTGTATTGTGCCAACCAGTCTCACAGTCTCTTCTCCCGCATAGACCTTAAGGAGTGTTCAGAAATAAAAAAACATACAAAAAGCCAACGTGCTGAATAGAAGGACCGAGTTGGTAAATTGAGTATGAATAAGTTGTGGCTGGTGAATGGGATTAAGAAAGAGAGAGAGAGAAAAGAGAGAGATAAAAAGAGTGTGAGAGAGAGAGAAATGGAAAGGGAGAGAGAGCAGAAAGAAGGACTGAGTAAGAGAGGGAGAATGTAGATACGATGCATCTCCTGAGATGACACTGCTGGGGGGACTTTGCTTTTGTATGAAAGTGGATGAAGAAGACATTCCAAGGTCTATCTCACCAGAAGTGGACGGCTGATTTCTGTTGTTTGATACGACCTTCAGGTGGATGCATCCACGGGACATGTTTGCTGGTCTCGGTTGAAAACCGGCTGAGCTTTCATCCGCCATCGGGAACACATCCTCAGAGCTGGAACTCATTCTTGTCACAGACTCAAGTTGCCAGCATCAGGTCAAGAAGACTATCCGACTCTATCTGACCTCTCTTTTAGACTCAATTAAGCAAAAGACAATTAAAAAGTCCAAATAGATATTGAATGCTTTTGCAGATTAGCTTTCCGATTCGTCCTGCTACTTTTGTTCTAGTTTCTGTGCATGTGCGTATGTATGTGTGTGTGTGTGTGTCTTGATGTGAATATGCAAAACCGATCCAAGATCACTGTTCAAAGGCTAATGTCAGGCTGTGGTG